TTTCGTGTATAGTATCCGGGTACTTTAAAATCACGCGAAAATTTTTTGAGGGGGTACTATACATAGGGGGGTACTTTAGCCCGCAATATACGGTAGTATTATTAGAAATGGAAGATTTTATTCAATGTGATGCTAATACAATTGCAAATGCTATTGCTAAAACTTTTGAAAAATATTCTTTATTATCAAGTTAATGTTTTACATTTTTATCAGATAATACAAATTATATGATAGGAATAATAGATGGAGCAGTTGCAAAATTTAATCAACTATTTAAAACAAATACTTTTCAGATTCCTTGTGCTTTACATATAGCACATATTATTTCAACTAATTTTGAAGAAATAGCTTTTGGAAAAACTTCTGCAACAATTGGATTTACAAAAGAAAAACATTCTTTTAATCTTTTATATTTTGTATAGAAATTACATAATGGTTATAATAAAAGTAATAAAAAAAGTCTATTGGGAATGAAATTTAAATATATTCAAAATCTTTATCAAGTACTTATTGGAGAGCATTTTTTAAAATATCAATAACTTTTACATACACAATGGTTTTATGAATTAAAAATAGCATAACAATATTTAGAAAGACAACCATTACATATTAAATTTATATCTTGGTTTATTTCTAAATTAAGATCTTATAAGAAAACTTTAAAAATATATATTAAAAATGGGAATTATTTTATAATTGGCTTCAAAATCCATTTTTAAATATTCAAATTGAATGTTTAGTTTAATTTGAAACACAATTTTATAGACCATTTGTTCAATTATTTCTAGATATGATTTTACATCTAAAATTCTTAATAAAGATAAAAAATTAAAACTACTTCCTGCTGGCCATCAAGCTCATCAAATGTCAGATGTAATAGCTCAAACAATTTTTGATTTAAAGAATATAAATAATAATATTTATCATTTTTTTGAAAAAGAATCATTTAATGCTGCTTTAATATTAACAGATGATGAATATTTTATACTTATTAATGGTTTTCAAAATGGAGTAAAAAAAGCATTTGAATTAAATAAAAATGGTTAAATAGTTGGCTTTATTTACCATTAAGTATCTGTCGACTTGGTGGACTTCATGAAAACAATTTGCTTGAAGTTTTGTTCATGTAATACTTGGTGAAAGTTAGAAAAAATTTTCTAATTTGTGTGAACTTATTTATGCACATTATCTTAAAATAGATTTAAAAAAAAATAATATTAATGATTTTGGTTTAGAATAAGCTTTAAAAGATCTAACATTTTATATAGAATTTTTACAATTTGCTTAATCAGTTAAGCAATTGCATGATTATTTAAATTTATATGAATAGGTAAAATATCATATCTGATATATTATTATATATTAATAGTAAATTGAAGGTATTTTTAATATATATGATTTAAAAACTCATCTTAATATGTCACTTGAAACTTAAAGAGCAAAATTGCGTCTTTTTAAAGTTACTTTAAGTGAATTAAAGTTTACAAATAAATAACTTTGAGAAACACATCAAATTATAAATAGGCTAATACAATCAAAAATAAATTTAGAATCAGAAAATATAAATTAAAATGAAGCAGATGAAATGTTTAAAGCTTTATTTTATAAAGATAAGAGATTTCTTAAATAAATAAAAAAATTTTTCGGTAAAATAAAAAAAAGGTGTGTTAAAATTTTATTATGTCTAATATTTATTATGATCAATCAATCTATTATGATCAATATTATTTATTACCCATAAAATAATCTAAAAAATAAAATATTACTTATATGATTTTTCTATTGCAAATCACATAATTTTGATCAACATATGATATAGAATACTCTATCATCTCATTATCAAAAAAATTTTCTGCATACTAATTTTAAAGTGATCAACATAAATCATTTGAAGTAAGCTGAATTTTTCAAAATCCCTTAATTTGTCAGGATCTGCAAGCAAATTTGCCTATATAATTTCTGAATTTCACGTCTCATTTATTTTTTTAGATTTTTTAAATAATTTTGATAAATTTTTTTATTTTTGTATAGCTTACTTTATGAACTTAAGTTTAAATCATTATTTATATTATTTTATGAATTTAATATTATTATATTATTAATTAAATTTTTATAATTTTCATTTCAAAAAATTTTTTTTAATTTAATCTTTAACGATTATTTTAAATATTCATTATAGTTATATATATGTTAGACTAAAATTGTAATATTTAATATATTTTACAACTTTTATTATTACAAAAAAATTTTATAAACATAAGGTGGGACAAAGTAATATTATTGGTTTTCATATTCCAGCTAGGTTAATAAAAGCGGGATTTAGAATTTTTTTTTTATAATTTTTTATTATTGATCAATAAAAATGCTGCATTTGATATCACGTGATTAAGATTGTACAGCCTTCTGATAATCAATATTTGAAATATTTTATTTAGCATTTAAACACAGTTACAAGAATTTAGGGAGAGTTAATTAAGTCTTCACTTTCCCTTGTCTTTACCATCCTGTTTTTATTTTAGACGCTTCTTTGAAACAGTAATACTATCATTACAACCATTACAACGTGAAAGCTCACCTTTTGCTAGTTTGGTAACGTTCAGATTTCCGCATTTAATGCAAGTATCTGGGTAGATCCTAGCTGAATAATATAGTTTCTCAACTTGTGATACACAAGACCATGAGTCATTAATGAAGACTCTTAAAAACAATTTACGTATAGAATCCTCCATATTATTATCAGACTCTTCTTCCGTAATATTTTTGAACTCTTTATCATCTGAGTCTTCATGTTCGTGTTGTTCATTTTCATCATAATCATCCTCCTCATCCATGTTTTCTTGATCATCAGCTTCTTTATCATGACTAATCTTATCTTCCATATCATCATTTATGTTTGATTGTTTTAGCGGTACAGCCACTGCAAAATTGCATGTATTACAAAATGATATACTACAAGTGTAGAAAATTGTATTCAAGAATTTTCACAATATTGCCTTATCTTTTTCAGAAAGTTTTTTTGCACTAAACAAAAGGTGTGGCTTTTCACACTCAACACAAGTTACAGTAATACTAACATTCTTTGCACGTGCAACAGTTGGGCAAAATGACATATTATGTTTTGCTTTTTAATTTTCATTTTGCCTTTCTTTGTTTTGTCTTAGTATCCTTAAGCGAAGGTCTATGATCTTCTGATGTTTGCTTACTATATAACTCTTTAAATGACTTGTAATGCAAGTCTTCTTCAGGTATTGGATCTGGAAGATGATATAGTTGTTCAAAATCTTCTAGTGAACAACGAGGAAGGCAATAAATGGTACAAGCTGATTCATCACATTTTTTGATTGAAAAAAAATAATGCCTTATCATATAACAATGGTTCAAGAATTGTTGCAAATGTGGCTTTCAATAAAGATAAGTTGGTTATTTTCTCTTTTTTTGCATAAATAATTTGATCAAAACTTTACTTACCTTCATTTTAAATGTTTTGCAGTACGGTCTTTATGAGTAACACTATCATCTACAAGCTGAATTGTTTCCTAAAATCTCTCCATTTCTGTTTCTGATGCTGCATTAAAGGTTTCAAAGAGCTCGCCTTTGAGAGACTGACGGTTGAACACATTACTAATCAAACGAATTGGAGCTTGAAGATTTTCAATAAGATTTTTTTTCAAGTTAAGATTTTCTTCAGCAACCTTGCAGATTTCACTCATTATACCAACTTCTTTTATTAATTTTTCTGATTGATCATTCATTTTTGTTTGCATTAAACCAACGCTTTGTAACCTTAGATTCAGAATCAATATAATACGTTTAATAGGATTTTTTCACAAATATTGTGGCGGAGTCCGAACAACAACAAAATAGTCAAGGTCCAATGCAAGAAAAAGACAAATATATGAGAGTTGAACGTGAGCATATATGCAATGATGATCTGGTTCACCATCTATATAAAGACACAGCATAGGTTTATTAACAAGCTCTTCTTTAAGAAGTATATCATACAGTTCTGTTGTATGACAAAGAGGTGAGGAGAGCTGAAAAATTGGATTTTTTAACCCAATATGTACTTTTCCAGTATAGAAATTACCATTGATCAATTCAGGTATATTACATACCATTATTATACTTGGTATAATTCCTAATTTAGTGTAATCATGATCAGTAACTACAAATGTGATGTCCTTACTGACTATAACTCTCTTTCCTCTCTCTACTGCAGCAACTGAAAATTTGGACTCTTCAACCTTGCAACAATGTTTATCATCTAAAGACCAAATTAGTGATATTACGAAACTTTACAGCAAATTCTTTCTCATAACGAAATAATGCTGATGCATAATGAACATCTTAATGGTAAGCTCGTAGTTGACGTATTTGAACCATGAATTTCAAGAGTAACCGACTAGTGAATTGCAAACTGCTAAGTCGTATTGGATTCTTAGGCCAAAATTGTAATCGCAACCATTATGCACTAGAAATTGGTGTTTCAGGTGAACACTCGCATTCAATTTGATATAGAAAATCATTTACTAAGATTGCAGTTGCAAGATGCACAATTGTATCATGCCTGTGTTCATCCACAGCAGTTATAGCATCTGCTGCCTTTCCTGCAAGAAACTGAGCTGCAGTTCTCCAAAAGACATCATATTTGCCAGGTCTTCTACTATTATGTTCATATAAATCAACAGTAATTTCTGGATCTCTAAGTTCTAAAGTGAGTCTAACACACTCATCTATTTTTGCTTCATTCGAAGTTTTAGCTGCAGAAGTATCACCTGTTAACATTCGATAAATTGTTCAGAGTGACGACGGCTTAGCTTTTTGAAGAAGCAGATTACAGATATGTATATAGTTGGTTCACATTATTCTTGTATGAAAATGGGGCACATCGGCTTGCAAATCATTTACAATTCGCGTATTCTCTTGTAAAATTGTTTCTTCATTAGCCTATTCATCAATTTTCTATATCGATATTGCATTAAAGGAATTGTTACCAGAATTAAATCAATATTCTCCAATTTTGAAGGAAAATGTATAAGATAAATTCTGGATGTATCACATTCTTTGTCTGTAATGCAAGTTATTTCATTATACTTTTATACTAACAATCTTTAAAATATTATTTCCATTTACTTACACAGGATCGATTGGTAGGTATTCTTCAATATCAACTGGTTTCCATAGTGGTAAATTGGTAAGCAAGTGTTCGAGATGACCATATTTTGCTTTATCAATAGCTGTTACCCAAACATTTTGCTTATGAACCTTGATTTTTGTAGCTTGGTCAATGGTTCATATGAAAGTTTCTGATGCATGGTTTGCAGCGATAATATCACGTTGGCATTGTAAAAATCTGACATAATTTGAGATAACAATAATGAAACTATTAAATACATTACGGAACCAATCAAAATTTTCCATT